ATGTACTTCCTCATTTTATTTGTAGAGGTTAAAGGGTTTTTGAGATAATAACAAAAATTAAATTATTTCAATAATTTATTATTATAATGAATTATTTATAATTTGTCTTTGTCTGGGCAAGTTTGGTGAATAGTGGTCGTTAGATAATTAACGTTGCTTGATCATAACAAATCAACTAGATTGTAATTAAGAAAAAGGGTCTAAATGAAACTGAAAGAAAAAAATTGTTGAAAAACAATCATAAAATATGACTTTAGATTCTTAAAACTACTTATTTTTCAATTAATTTTTTTTTTACAAATCTCAGTTATATTATCCTAAAATATTGTTAAAATAAAAATAAAAAAAATTATCCCAAAAACAGTTGAAAAGATAAAAAATAATCTTCTCCAAACATGCCCTAAGATAAGTATTGCAACAATTGCCAATTCCAAAACAAAGATGAAATCAACCAGTATTATCCTTCCTCCCCACTTATGTTTTGCTAGTAAATACTTTCAAGTTTCATCCAAGGATTTCAGCATGAACTATACCAGCTTATTCTTGCTTCATAGGAATTTAAATCTAAGAAATCACCAACAGGATGAACTGCTGGAAGTTGCATACCTGAACTTTCAATTGATTTAAGTATGTCTGACTTCTTAAAAGTATATCCAATGAAATTGTTATCTTTGGACGTAAGCATCTGCAAGAGTACCATAAACAAAAATAAAATATCATTAGCATTGCAATTTAAAATAGTTAATAAATTACTTATCTGAAAAGCTGGAAAAATGAGAACGCAACAGATATGTGCTAATTGCAATGGAAAAGTTGAAGACAGTAGCAGACGTGCTACATTTGAAAAACTTCTGAAACGGAGTTTCAAGAGAAAAAATCTGGAAAATAACTACAATTTCGTTACCTGAACATAGAGAAACCTTACTTTGTGTGAATGAAATTTTTTAGTTACTTAACCAGCACAATATACAGTACTAATAATCAAAATAACATAAAAATATTTGCCTCTAAACCAAAAGATGTAGTGCACTAACCTATGAATATCACTAAATATAACAGGACACAGTAATTTAAAAAAGAAATCAATTGAAGTTGAAAAGAAATCAATTTTAGTTAATAGTGAAAGATATGGTGCAACAAAATGAAGTGTTTTTTTTTTTTTTACGTTTTCACTTTTCTACATACCACATACGTATGTTTGTCATGAACAAGACAAGCATGTATGCCCTTACAAACAATCTTTATGTATTACAAGCTTAAGAAAACAAATTACCTTCCGCCAAGGTCCAACAGTTGCTGTTACAGATGGTGGGCCATCTACCTGCCAACGATTGAAATCACTAGTTTAGGTGTGTATAGAGTCATTAGACTTTAGAAAGTATAGAAACCAGAAGAGATAAATAGTCTATTAGGCTCAAAATTTTGGAAATTAGTCATTGACTCGTTGTCAATAAATGATAACAAAATCAAAAGACATGGCAGCCAAATATAACTCACGGAAAACCAAATGGGGAAAGAATTCTAAATAAAATAATAAATATATAGACATATATGGCTAGCATTTAGTTTGTTACTTTGAAAAAAATGCCAATTCTTACAACACCATTTAAGAATTCGTTTACAATTGTCTCTGCCAACAATTTATATTAATATTAAACTATTCACGGATACAAAGAGATGGTTGGGTCATATGCTTGTTCCATATAAAACCAGCCTCTAAAAACAATTTCAATTTCATGTAGAGCATATGGTATAGTGGGTCTGTGTGTCCAGGCAAGAACCCTTGTGTAGAACATATAAACAGTAGCAGGAAGAATAGTTTTCTTTATGATGGAAGATGGGCATACAAATTGAGAGGGCACATATAACTAAATCATTAAGGATACTATCTTGCACATGCATAATGATGTTTCATTTACACTCATCAAATCCTTAGTAGTTAAATGATTTTGAAGCTTACAAGTAATTACTTCATACAAATAAATTTCACGCAATTTTGATGCATTAACTTTTTATGTATTGTATACTTACTTCAGGAAACTTCTCAAAATTTTGAGTATCCAAATCCCCATTGACTATAGGTTTATAAGCAGCTTCTGATTCATACAGCATGTCCCACTGAACACCCTTGAACCATGGATGAGCCTGAAAATTCAAGTACTTATTTGTTAAGAGAGGGCTTATGCAGATTATCAGGGCATATCACTAATTAGAAATATGAACTACTCTAGTAGTTTAAAGAATTTTTAATAAATAACGGGCAACCAATAAGAGTTGTCACCTTTATTTCTTCCACTCCTCTGGTTCCTAGTCTTAAGTCAACATCACATAGTAAGCGACAGATCAAATCCTTTGCTTCAACTGATATCTTGGGTTCTTCAGGGAATTTCAGACAAGTTTTCCAGTTAACAATCTGATACAATACAGAAACACTGGGTTATTATGAAAAAGAAAAAAAAAATAGATATGAAGAAAATAAGAGAATCAATCAATCGTTAATACCTTACGGCAGGCCATCCTAGGATCGTCAGAACAAAATGGAGGATACCCAATAAGCATCTCATACATGATTGCCCCTAGAGACCACCAATCGCATTCTATTCCATATCCCTTCTTGAGCAAAACTTCAGGAGCCATGTAATCAAGAGTTCCAACAGTTGAGTACGCCTGACAAGTGTATAAGTTGGTAACAACTGACAGATTTCACATATCAAACAAAACTAACACTTAATATTACACCTCAGAAGGCAGTAACATAATAAATTTTAAATATTGTTTAGAGAAGATTTTATTTGGCTGTTTTGCCTTTTTTTAATCTCTCCCAGAAGTATTTTGATTATAAACTGATTTGAACACAAAATAAACTACTCCAACACACATTTAGTCATTACTTCATAGGCTTTTGCGTATTTGTTTGTTATGCCAATAATAGTTAATAACCACTAAGGAACATGAAATGAGGGAGAGAAGTACCAATGCCCGGCGATTGCGTTTCCACTGCTGTAATTGCTCCTTTGGCATCAACCAAGGCGAGACAGAATATCCTTCAGTTTCACTAGTTGATTCTTGACTGGTAAGATCTTCATTTTCCAATAAAATTGTTGAATACTTATCATCAAGAGGCTTACATAAGCCAAAGTCTGAAAGCTTTAAATGACCACTTTTGTCCAGTATCAGGTTATCTGGTTTAATATCCCTACACAAGCAGAATATCTTCGACTGAGTATAAATAATTTATTTCACTAAAGAAAATTTATTTTCTTGCTGAAATTTTGAATCTTTCTCCAGAAACATTATATATTTTATTCACCTCAAGATTTTTCATTAATGATAAACTAATTCACATACCATAGTTTTATATTCATTATTTTCACAAAAGCATAAAGTGGATTAACATTGAATATAGTCCTCTGAAAAGATAAATATAACTCGCATCACATAATCTATGTTCCTTGTAAAGAGCAGTAAGCTGCATACAACTAAGAATACGGTTTTCGGATTATTTCAGAGCATGTAGTGTGTGATATATCTTTGTTAGATCAAGCCATGAGCCATGTTGGACCACACACGTATTCTTTGCCCCACTACTTGTAGCCTATTAAGCATAAAGAGGCTACAACATTGGCTACCAACAACACAAAAAATAGCCTTCCGCCGCTAGGTGAGGATACCATTGGCTACCAATAGAACAAAAACTGAACCGTGTGATAATATTGCATACCTATGTACATAGTTGTGTTGATGTATTGAGTTAATAGCAAGAATGCTTTCAGCTATGTAGAAGCGAGCAACTTCTTCAGAAAGAATATCTTCTCTCATTAATAATGTCATAATGTCACCACCAGGTAAATATTCCATGATGAGATATAGGAAATCCGAATCTTGGAATGAATAATGGAGTTTTACTATGCATCTGCTATCAACCTCTGCCAGCAAGTTTCTCTCAGATCGAACATGTTCCACCTAAATAGATTGATATCATGATGACAAATGAAGCAATGAAATTGATACCAAAGATCAGAATAGCTCCCAAAGATTCTTTTTTCGTCTACTTGTATTGGAATTTTTAATCTGTAACATAATTGAACCCTTAGATCCTACAAAATGAATGATTTTTTCCAGTGAAAATTGCAAATGGCATCAGCTGCTGGAAACAGCAGGAAGATGTAAGGAAGAAGCAAGTTGTTTTTATTGTAAAATGCCTTCTCAACAAAGGAAAATGAGATGGTCACAAAAACAAATCGGACAACCTCAAGTGGATATTATCTACTGGCTAGCACTTTGTTTTCCACTGGACTGAAAGTTGAAATAACTCTGCCTACCAACTAAACAGGTTAATTATTCAAAAAATTACACTCGATAAAAGCATTCATATTATAGTGGCTAGATTACAATTACATGCAGATATGATGCAAATTAGTATAGGCATCATATCTAGATCACTTAATGTTTTGTGTCAAATTCTAATTTTACAGTATATATTACAAGAGTCAAACCATCATACCATCATTCAGTTTAATTGGGAAAATAATAATGTAATCAATTAAATGGAGGGAACAAAATGAAAATGAATGGTGAATATTGAACAAGGCTTTAAATTACAGCTGTGATCCCTAACATTGAGAGAAATTGCAAACAAATGCTGCCAATCTGGCCATATTTGCAGTCACACAGAGTCCAAGAACCTTGACCTTACAGTTGAAATCAAAGATAGTGAATTTTGCTTGTTTAATGCAATAAGTTGTACGATTACGAAGATCAATGAATTGAAGTATAATGCACTAAGTGTGGCAGCTAGTACCTGTCCACGACTAAGCATCTCTGACTTCTTCAATTTTTTCATGGCAAAAATCTCTCCTGTACTTTTAGCACGACATAACCGCACCTACATTTTCGCAAAAGTTTAAGAAATTACATTGACACACAAACGCATTAAGTTCTTGCAATGAACACACTACATCAGAAGGAACCAAAGGTATGCGCAGATTATATTTGCATACCTCACCAAAAGCACCTTTCCCAATCACCGTCAATTGCTCGAAGTCATCAATTCCAATTTTACGTCTCTGAAGCCTCATGTACTCAGTTTCTCGACGCTCCAAGTTTCTCATCATTTCCTCCTTCTCCTCAACAGGTATCTGAGATTCTTGCACTTTTCTCTGCAGCGCCCTGCGTCTGAAACAGAAAGTAATCATGATTAAATCCAATCATGTCATATTACCTTTAAAAGTAATCATGTATACCAAATTCTAGATAAATCATTACACATACATAGTAACAATATTATAATAATTTACATCAACTTAACTTCTAAGTATTAACAATAATATAGGAGTAGTTCAATAAAGTATCATCCACATAAACTCTGCGCAACAAGGCATATTCGACCAAATCTATGAAACTCAGTTCAACGTTAAAATTACTAAATGCTGCGTGTATATAACATGAGAATTTTTGTTCGACGAGTCTCTATTCTGAAAACAGAGTATTAGAAGGGAGAAAAACTCCGAGGCGAGGCTAATACGTTGTAGGCGAAGAAAATTCGAATACGAGATGCGGAGGCGGAGGAAGAAGAGAAAGTAAACGATTAATTTTCATTGAAAATTGGAAGTATTATTAAATGCTGTACCAAGAAATCGATCCTGAGAGTGCAGAATTATTAAATGATGCAAGAGAGAAAGAAATATAGTAGAGTAGTGAAATAGGAATGAATAGGTAGGTGAGCGAGGTAGTTGACGTAGGTGGCGTAGTAGTAATAATAGTGGTAGAACCTGTCTTTGCGATCCTGCAATCCTTGGAGATAGTTCTTGTAATGATTCTCGATGAACTGCTTGGCGGCGGCGGCTTTCTGCCGCGTGACCGGCGAGGAGACGGAAACGTCGGGGCCGGAGTCAAAATCGGCGCGATCGTGCCTGAGGTTGATGGCGCCGAGCCTCACGGTTCCGTCGTAACCGTCCATTCGGATCGGCGATCCCGAGATCTGCGACGGCGCGCGCGAGCGAATCGGCGAGAACGCGATGTGACGTGCGGAGCAAGGAAGAAGGTGCACGCACTCACACACGCGTCAACGATTAAGGTGGACGCTAGTGCCGGTGCTGTAGCTGGTGTGTTGTTGGTGTGAGTGGAGAATGAAATGAACTAGAACTTGCCAAAATGCTTCAAAGCTGTAGCAAGCTGTCTTTTATAACTCTTAGTTGTCGCTTCTCCACGTCTTCCTCACTTTTTTTTTTTTGTTTAATTTAATGAAATCTTCCGCAATTTAATAAATTGACCTTTATTATCTTATCATGATGAAAAAAATATATTTGAAGATATTTTAGATAAAAACAAATTATAGAGCTAAAAAATATATAATTATATTTTTTTTGTTCTAAATTTTATCGATATTGGAAATGAGTGAATGAATGAATTAATAATGGTTTTGGTGACGTGATATGAAGTGGTGGAATCTTTTGGAGCATTGTGCATCCATGATTACTATACAAATTACAATCAGAGTTTGACTTGCGGAGAGAGAAGAAAAAAGATCGCTATTGTCGGCGGAGATCCATATGCATATGGAATGGAATAGAATAGAAAGAACGTAAAGAAGAGATCCACCTTCTTGGAATTTTGCGTGATTTTCACGCATCATTGCACCACTCTAAACTGTGGGCACTCCCTTTGTATTGGACCCCCAACTCGCTCTCTTTGCTTCCCAAGGATCCTCCCCTGTTTTTGTCACTATACTATTCACCAATAATTTTTTTTTTTCTAATTTTAGCTTTTTAATATGATGAAGTCTCGGGAGAGAATTAAAAAATATTTAAATTTAATAAATCAAAATAAAAAATTAAACAATTCAACAATATTTAATATTTTTATGTTAATTTAAATATAATTTCTATTTTATTATTCCAATAATCTCATTATATTTAAGAGTTGATAATAAATTATTTTATTTTAAAAAAGATTAATAAATTAAAAAAATCAAAAATATATATAAATTATTATTTGTCTCAATATTTAAATCCTAAATCTTATATTAGGATGTCAATATAGATTGTAACTAATCGATCAACCAGGCTCACTACAGGGTTTGAGTCTGATTCGAGTTCAATTTTTTTTATTTCTATCGATAATGGGTTAAAAATAAACCCGACTCACTTAATCCATGGGTTAAATGGATTCGAACTAGGTTATGGTAGATTGACCCGTAATCCACCATCTATTTTAAATTTTAAATTTCAGTTGCATCATAGTATTTGTTGTGTTTTAATCCCGTATTTCAATCATGTTATAGTGTTTGATGTGTCACTACACCATAACGTTTTAGTTCCGTATTTTAGTTACATCACAATGTTTATCGTTTTATCGCATTTCAGTCGTGTCATAGCATTTGACGTGTAACTACGCCATAATGTTTCAGTTTTACATTTCAATCCAATCATAATATTTGTCATTTCAACGCGTTCACTATATTCGTCGGTGCCAACACAACACCATACTTCAGTTGCACCATAGTGCTTGTCGAGTTTTAGTCGCGTCATAACGCTTATTATGCTACCGCGCCATTATATTTTAGTCTTGCAATTCAGCTTATATTTATTAGAAAAAATAATTAAAAATAAAAAATAAATATGGATTAGTGAGTCAATATATTTGTTACGCTTCAATCCCTCATTTCAGATCACGTCATAGTGTTTGATGTGTCACTACACCATAACGTTTTAATTCCGTATTTTAGTCACATCACAATGTTTATCGTTTTCACAGCATTTCAGTCGCGTCATAGTGTAATTACACCATAATGTTTCAGTTTTACATTTCAATCATATCACAATATTTGTCATTTCACCGCATTCACTACATTTGTCGGTGCTAACACGACACCATACTTCAATTGCATCACAAGCGTTTGTCGAGTTTTAATCGTGTCATAACGCTTACTATGCTACCGCACCATTATATTTTAGTCCTGCAATTCACTTATGTTTATTAGAAAAAATAATTAAAAAATAAAAAAATAAATATGGATTAATGAGTCAATCCACTAATCCGTAATAAGTTGAACTGGATTATGAAATTTCTAATTTACTATAAAGTGAGTCAGGTTGATTTCACTTGGCGAAATCTTTTATTTTTAAACGAAAAAATAAATATATTTTTAAGATTATATTTATAAAAACTAAAGTTATATTTAACTAAAAATTATATTTGATAATGAATATAGACTAGAGTATTGAGAGCCACATTTTTTTTCAATAATATTAATTTATATAAAATGTTATAATAAAAATTGAAACTTAATTAATACTCTCCGTAAAAATAATAATATACTTATTAGATTATTAAGAGTAACAAACAAAACACTTTCTACCATGACTATAGGTTGGTGTAAGAAATGATCAAAGTTTATAATCTACAAATTGATTAGGTTTTAAAGTGATTCATTATGCAAATAAAAAAGAATTTTAGTAGAATTATAATTTATGTAAGAAATGTATACACAGCACTTTAGTTTCCATATCAATACATGTTTTCCTACTCTACGGAGTATTAAAATGCGAATTCCTTATATTATCCTCTTCTTCACTCTTCTATTTTTTGTTGGGATAAAGATATTTGATTAGCTAAATTATAGGTTTGTATAACGGTACAAAATATTGTATAATCAGAACTTCCTTTATTTAGTCCTGATTTGTTGGAGTAAAATACTATAAGATCATAGTATCTGTGTACAAAAATAATATGAATAAAAATTATAGAATGAATTCTATGTTTTTCAATTTGGTACCAAAGCTTATAATTTTTTTCTTTTTCTTTTTAAATCCTTGGAGATCTTAACTGGAGAGATGACAGAAAAATTAATTCCAATGGTTGTTCAATCTGAAGGTGTCTTCAACGTAGACATCATCCTAAATAAATCCAATTATGACATACGGTCACAACTAATGGAGATGCACATTGCAGAGAGGGAAAAATTGTCCTACATCCGTGGGAAGGTGAAGCTTCCAACAGAGAACAATAAGGGATATGAAAAAATGTATGCTGAAAACCAAAAAGTGAAAAGATGGTTATTGATGTCCATGAAGCCATAAATCATGAAAAGGTATCTTCGTTTACCCACTGCCCTCGATATTTTGAATGTTTTGTCAAAGGCATTTTATGATGGAAGTGATGAGCTACAGGTGTTTGTCCTGAATCAAAGGGCATTCACTGCAAAATAAAATAATAGAACCTTAACTGAATATTATAGGGAGTTGGTTGAGATTTTTAGGGAATTGGACCATCGTAACAAAGTAGTCATAAAGGACCCTAATGATGTGAAGTCATATCAGAAGTCCATTGAAAGATTAAGGGTGCATATACTCCTTGCTGGACTGGATTATTATTTTGAGCAAGTTCGTGGAGAAATCTTGCACAAGGAAGTGACACCTGATTTAGAAGAATGTTATGCATTGATCTGGAGATAGACAATTCGACAAACAACGTTGAAAATAGAAGATATGATTTCTGATTCCACAGCTATGATGACAAAGAAGCTGCTAGCAAATCATCACAGCAAATCGAAACAATCAAAAGATTTTGAAAAAGGTAATTAAGTGTACTTAGTGTGTAATAAGGATGGACACACCAAAGAACGATGCTATGAAATCATAGGATACCCCGAGTGGTAGGATCACAATCAAGCATCGAAGAAGAATTCAAAAAGAAATCCAATTGTTGCTGTTGTAACTGTCATTGACAAAGAGGATGACAAATGCATGATGCTTGCTACAATTGCAGGTAGTGATGATTCCAATGGTAAGGCTTTAATAAACACATATACTATTCTGAATAATGCATGGATAATTGACTCTGTGTGTTCTGATCATGTGACTTTTGATGTTAGACAGATTAAAAATCTTAAACTTTCCTCATAAAAAAGTATTTTCACAGCCAATGGTAGTAAATCCACTATTATTGGAGAATGAATTGTCTCTATTTCAAACAATTTGAATCTTGATATTGTCCTTGTTGTTCCTTGTCTTAAATATAACCTATTGTCAGTCTCGCAAATAACCAAAGTTCTTTATGTTGTAATTTTTGGGTCTGACTCTTGCGTTTTTAGGGACATTCAAACGAGGAAGATGATTGGTTATGGTATTAGGCGAGGAAGGTTGTATTACCTGGACCTGACAGAAAAATATTCAAAGAGATTTGGTCAAGTGCTAGCAACAAAATGGTCTCAAGAAGTAAGAAAAGGCGAGGATATTTGGTTATGGCATAAGCGTCTAGGACATGCATCTTTTGGTTACATAAAGAAATTATTTCCAAATGTATTTGATCAAGTAGACACTTCAACTTTTTATTGTGATGTTTGTGAGCTTGCAAAGAGTCATAGAACATATTCTCCTTTAATTTCAAATAAAAGTTCTCTTCCTTTTATGATCATTCACTTCGATGTATGGGGTCCATCTAAGGTTACAACGTTGGGTAACTCAACATGGTTTGTAACGTTTATTGATGATTATACTCGAATGACTTGGTTATGTTTGATGAAGTCTAAAAGCGAAGTTGGAGGACTATTTCAGAAATTCTGCAAAATGATCGAGACCCAGTACAAAGCACAAGTTCAAGTACTACGCAGTGACAACAGAGGAGAATATATGCTATCAGAACTTCAATATTTTTTAGTAGTCAAAGGAATTGTTCATCAGAGATCTTGTCCAAATACTCCACAACAGAATGAAGTGGCAGAACGAAAGAACTGTCATCTATTGGAGGTGGTCTGAGCTGCACTAATTGGAGCTCACATGCCAACAATATATTGGGGAGAAGCTCTCACATATGCAGTATACACTATCAACCGAACACCATCCAGGTCTCTTGAGTATAAAACACCTCTTCAATCACTTACAGATGCAGTAGTAAGTCCTAAAATTGTTGAACTAACACATAGAATTTTTGGTTGTGTTGCTTATGTTCACTTGCACAAGCATCAGAGAAGTAAGTTGTCTTCTAGAGCTGAAAGGTGTGTGTTCCTTGGCTATGTGGATCACCATAAAGGATATCGGTGCTACAATCTACAAACCAAGCAAATGTTTACTACTATAGATGTAGTTTTTCATGAAACCTTGATATATTTTTCCCCTGAGTCTGAAATTCAGGGGGAGAATTATGATGAAGTTCAGACTTTTGTTCCTCAAGAAATTGATATTGAGGTTAGATTGGAGAAAGAAAGTTACAAAGTTGTATCAGGAGATGATGAAAATATGCAACAATGTTATGATCAACAACCACATAATAAGGAAGATTTTGAGCATGTCGAGATCGAAAATTTGTCTGTTGATGTTGATGATATACCACACCAATCGTCCCCTCAAGAACCTAATACAGAAAAAAGAATTCTGCCAGATCGTGTCACTAAAGGTATCCCTAAGCCTACTTATGATCCTGACCTCACCAGTAAGATAAGATACCCTATGAGTAATTATTTTTGTAATCAGAATTTGTCTAACTCAAATATCGCATTTATAAGTCAATTATCTACTATATTTATTCCTAACAGTGTGCAGGAAGATTTAGTTTACTCCAGGTGGAAGGATGTTATGAATGAGGAGATGAGATCCTTACAAAGAAATAAAACATGGGAATTAGTAGATTGTCCAGTTGGAAAGAAAACAGTACGATGTCGATGGGTGTATACTGTGAAATTTAATGCAGATGACACAATTGAGAGATTCAAAGCTAGATTGGTGGCAAAGGGGTACACACAAGCATATAGAATAGATTACACTAAAATGTTTGCTCCCGTAGCCAAAATTAGTACAGTTCGAGTATTGTTATCTCTAGCTGTAAATCTTGATTGGTCCTTACAACAATTTGACGTAAAAAAATGTCTTCTTACACGGGGAATTGTCTAAAGAAGTTTATATGGAGCTATCAGAAGGATGTGAGATCCCAAATACACATAGCAAGAAAGTATGCAAGTTGAAGAAGTCATTGTATGGACTAAAACAATCGCCACGAGCATGGTTTGGTAGATTCACCAAGTCAATGCTTGTTTTTGGATATCAACAGAGCAACCAAGATCATACCTTGTTTCTAAAGAAAAAGGAAGGGAAGATTACAATTCTTATTGTCTATGTTGATGATATGATAGTTACAGAAAACGATCTAGAGGAACGCAAGACATTGAAAGAGTACTTGACAAAGGAATTCGAGATGAAGGATCTTGGTCCTTTGAAATATTTTCTTGGAATTGAGGTCTCAAGATCAAAGTCAAGTATTTTTCTCTCACAACGAAAGTATGCATTGGATTTACTGAAAAAAACTGGAATGACAGCATACAAACCAGCAAATTCTCCAATTGAAGAGGGATTGAAGTTGTGTATTGAAGAAGATCAAACTCCAACTAACAAGGGAAGATATCAGAGACTTGTAGGGAGATTGATGTATCTCTCACACACTAGGCCAAATTTAGCTTATGCTCTTAGTGCGGTTAGTCAATTCATGCACAATTCAAGTGAAAAACACATGGATGCTATTATACGGATTTTAAGGTACATAAAAGCTGCTTCTGAAAAAGGAGTTATGTTCAAGAAGAACTCCAACTATAACGATGTGATGGTTTATACTGATGCAGATTGGGCAGGTGCTCTTGATGATAGAAGATCAACCTCTGGATACTTTACATTTGTAGGAGATAATCTTGTCACATGGAAAAGCAAGAAACATAAAGATGTAGATCTAGTGCAGAAGCTGAACTTAGAGGAATGGTTATTGGACTTTGTGAAGGTTTGTGGCTCAGATTACTTCTCCAGGATTTAGCTTATGCACATACACGTCTCATTCAGTTGTATTGTGATAATAAAGTTGTGTGCGACATTACTCACAACCATGTCCAACATGATCGGATGAAGCATGTGGAGGTTGATAGATTTTTCATCAAGGAAAAGCTTGATAAAATATTCTGGAATTGCCAAATATTCGATCTAAATATCAGCCGGCAGACATTCTTACCAAAGCTGTGACAAGTCAGATTTTTAGGAAATTATTGGACAAGTTGGGAATGTATGAGATCCATTTACCAACTTGAGGGGGAGTGTTAGGATAAAGATATTTGATTAGCTAAATTATAGGTTTGTATAATGGTACAAAATATTGTATAATCAGAACTTCCTTTATTTAATCCTGATTTGTTGGAGTAAAATACTATAAAATCATAGTATATGTGTACAAAAATAATATGAATAAAAATTATAGAATGAATTCTATGTTTTTCAAATTTTTTTCTTTTTTCTTTTTTCTTTTTTTTTTCATTTGATTCAAAATGAAAATTGTAAAAAACGTGTTCTAGAATGATATAAAGATTTTTCCATATTAGAAAAATAATATTTAACATCTTTACAATATTACAAAAAGGATATACAAGAGTTACAAATAAAACTGCATTAATTGAATGAATATGTATAATATTACTTTTTCTTTTTTCAACTACTTAGATATATTTCTTTCTAAAAAGTTAGAAATATTAATTTTTTTAAGCCAATTCATAGTGGAAAAGGAAAATCATTTTTCAACTAAACGTAAATTTGTAGGACATGTAAAAGCCAAAAGTTTTTAGAAAATCTAAAATAACAACGAAATGTTATAAATATTATATTCATATAAAAATAGTATTGTTAAATTGGTAAATGTTTGGTGTTTAAAAGTTTTACTAAATTAAGTTTAATAAAAATAATTTGTTCCTGATCTCTTATTAAAAACATAATATAACATATTTTACATCAAATAAACTTAATTTTTATTTTTCTTATATGTTCTCTTATGGCTATTCGTTTTAGTATAGTGAACTTCATAGTTAAATAAATTTTGAGATGAGGGGTGCACCTTATTGATCAACCAAATGGGGTAAAAAAATAATATTTGAATTTCAATATGTGAATTTAATACTTCTATTCTTTCTAAAATAAATACAATTCTAAAATTACAGTTGATGAGTCATGTGTGGTGGATTGGTAACCCAATGGCTATTGTAGGAAGTCATTGTTATGAGATACATTGTCTCTACAATTTGCATCTGGGACTGGTGCACTCCTTGTGTTCTTCTTTAGATTGAACTGAGCAAGGAGTTTGATTATTTGTAATCCTCTTTGTATCTGTGACAATAGTATGTAATTCATAAATGTTTGTGCATTCCTCTTAACAAAGTGAATAATGGTGGCCAATAAACCTATCAGAGCAATGGCCCCACAAATGCAAAATAAGCCAAAAAAAGGTTGAGGACCAAGTTTTTCATTTTGCATTTTGTTGTTTGTAGATCCACAATTAGTTGTGGACAACATTTTCTCTTCTAGCTTTTGCACTTCTCCACTTTCTATGGCTTTTAAGGTTGCTCGGGTTATGTCAATGGCTAAACTTGACCCTTTTGGGAATGCCTGCATCAATGTACAGTGAACAGTGAATAAGAAACTGGTTTTAACAAATTTTCAACATTATAGTAAAGATAAGGCATAAGAATGTAGCAAACTTTCAATCTAACATGTAGGATGATGAGAAGAGAAACTCACAAAGCCCAATCCACCAAGCTTCAAGGTAGGTCCTGCTTTGATGTATCCCTGGCAATACGTAGCTAGGAAGACATCAGCATGAGGGGCAATGGTAAAAGAAGCCTCAATTTCTTTGTTCTCAAAGGCTCTTGGGAAATCATGGATGGAGTCATAGACCCTGATATTCTGTGGCTGGAATCTGAGTTCATCAACTAAGTAATGGACCAAAAAGGTGTTCTTATTGCACCCTATGATTGCATCTGTCCTCAGCAGTGTTTGTATATCAGGCACAGATGGTTCAAGATGGGACACTGTCATCAAGGATGAAAGGCTCGCTGTAAAACTTTGAGTCACTATCAGAATAGCAAATAACCAAGGTGCTAGCACTATTCTGGCCAAGTTGCTATTTACAGGTTCTCCTACATATCACAAAATAATAAGTTTGGATATAACTTTTAAAGTATAGTATAAAAGTCCGTAGATTTTAATTATATGACAGTTTAAAATCAAATGACAATATTAAAAACATTAAGCCTAAAGTAGAAGAAGAAAGACCACGTGCAGACAGAAGATGAATAGACAAAAGAAGTAAAGAGAGACAGAAAATGGTGAGTATACTAGAAAAGGATCGAATGAGTCCTTACATTAGTTTGATGAAATTGTAGGAGACGATAGAGGAGTTTAGAGGAGGGTCATTAGTGTGACTTACTGTGTATAAAGAATAATGTGGTCACAGAAAACCAGAGAATGGCCCCTAAACTCTTTAGCTCTGAATTGTTTTCACCTTCAATGAACCATATTACAAATGCTATGAACAGATGCATTGCTGCCATTAACATCCACATTTCTTTTGTGAAAGCGTCCATGAACATCCAGGTTTCTTTGGATCTATCTGGCTTTACTTTCACAACCATGGCAATACCAGATTCAACATATGGATGACTGAATTCTGCAAATGCATATCTATGTTCCACCACTTGGATGTCTCCCACAGCAGCATCGAGGTACTACATTAGAAACACACATTCTACCAAGATTATCAATTCTGTTCCAACATGGTTATTTACACGAGATGTTTGGATACATTTATCAATAAGCAAGCACAAAAGAATTCATAAACTAAAGTTTATTTATATATCATTTGAAAAGAAAGAATTTATATAAATTATCTTATGCTATGCTAATTTATCTTATTTATTTGGTTTTAGTTTTATCTGATCATGATCTTAATAAGCATATATAGATTACGATTTTACCTTATTGTTCACTTGTTCAACTATCTGATCGTAAGAGCCATAAAATGGCACAAAAACAAAAGGCAGGTGATAAGGCAGGCGTTGCACGACTGTCTCAAAGACATTGATAGAGAAACCAGTGAACTTGGTTTCATTCAGTCTCTTATCATGGCTCACATTCACAAACTGAGGACATGGATCAACAGCTGGAACCCCAATTTTCAAAGGCTTTCCCTCAGTGCTATTGTACACCCAACCTTTTGGAACTGTTTTCAACCCACCAGGCCAATCCACAGAACTTAAAAGCACTCTAGCAGAACCAGCACTAGTTGCTGTTGTGTTCACCACCTCATGCTCAACAAGGTTCTCACTCAAACCAGACTCCATTGACCAATATGCTAACTCTTTATAACCTTTTCCAATAACATTGACAATCATAAAGGTTGGCGGTTCCAATAACATTCTGCCTTTGAACCTTATCTTTCCACTAAGGCCCTCATGATCACTACTTAAAATCTTCTCTGATAATGAAAAGTTTCCTTGTGAGTTCTCCAAAGCATTAGCAATGGTCCAAACAGCATCGTAAGCCCTAAGAGCAAAGACACTTGGTTGGGAGTTTTCTTCTTCAGGGTATTCCAATCCAAACTTTCTCCTGTACATGAGCTTGAAACTTTTGAACGTTTGACTCAACTCCATGAAGTTGGTTTTGCACCCGATAACACCTTGCATGTTGAAAGTGACAGAAGAATCGAATGAATCAAGGTGGTTAGCTACGTCATCTGCAATGACCCACACTGACCCTTTTTCCATCATTCCCATTTGCTTTGCCTTCTCAAATAGCAAAGTGGCAAACTCCAAGGAAGATTGAATAAGCAAGAAGACCCTATTGCTCTTGTTCTTGAGCCTTGTAAGCTCTTGTTCTATGCTCTCAGTTGGGTTTGAAAGAAGTGTCATCGATGGAAAAGCTACATGGTGATCGATTTCAGCATTGACTAGACGTAGAGAGTGAGAGAGTCTTGTTAGTATCTCTGAATGAGAGGCAAAGAGGTTGTTGTGTTCGTAAATTGCTGTGACCTTTCGCCAATGGAATTGGTGTACGATGGATGCAATGCAGTGCATGTGAAGGGTGACATCATGGCCCATTTGGATGAAGTGTGGCAATGGGATTGAAGTCATCTCTGGACTAGCTGTCGAGGTTAGAGATATGATGGGGAAATCCTTTGAGTTTTCATCAATCGAGTGGAACAATGTAGCTGCATCGAGTTTTGTTCCTACAACCACTTGCACTTGTTTGCTGTTTGCAAGATCTATATGTAGTTGCATGAAAGAATGGACAACATGAAAAAGTTACTCCTGGAACAAAATGCTTACATGCATTCTTTTTTATTTTTAAAAAAATATTTCAGAATATTTACAGAGCAGGTATGTTAAAATTGTTGAGCATCATTAACTAAAAATTAAAGACTTATTTTTCATCAATGCTATTTTTTTAATATAATAGTTAAAATATATTATTATTTTAAATAATTATATTAAAAATTAAATCTCTATATTTTCCTCTTTACTTGAATAAATATATATATATATATATATATATATATATATATAATAGGTTTAATGTTTGACAAATAGTATTTATCATTTCTAGTCTTTTCTTAAAAAAATAATATACTGGGATATACTCTTTTTTTTTTTAAGTTATGAATTTGTTTTTTTTTAAGATTAAAGTTACAACTGGCATATTTTTGAAGTAGTTCCTATTTTTTAGATTAAAATGTGGTTAATGAGATAGGGTTTTTTAATACTGTCTGGTTAATTAATATGTTCAATTAACATCAATGTGATAAAATATTCAATTTTTTTCAAACGTATGACTGCTTTAATTTTCTTGCATAAATGGTGTGTACTCCATGAACAGTGATTTTAAGTAAACGTTGTGAGAATAATTTTAATTATACGTAATATAAAACAAGAAAAAAAATCTAACTTCTAAAATACAAGAGAAACTTGATGACTTGTCATTAGATAATTTCATATTTTATATAAAAAGTATGAATTCAAAACTTTTGTATTATCTGCTCCTTATCTCATAAAGGTTATTAATTTTAACTAATATTATTGAAATTATTTATATATCATCAAGATTATTTCAAATTCAATTTAATCAAGGTTTTTATAACTAATATCGATGGACTATCTTTAGTAAATATGAGTCATTTTTTTATTAAACGTCTGTCTTGATTATTTTTTATCAAATGTATGATGGGATTGTTAATTAATGTTTTTTTTATCAAATTAATTAGGATACTTTTGTCTGTTGATGACTGAAAAAAAAATTAGTTAATTTTGATTATTTTTTTTTATAATGTGAACTTTAGTCAAAATAATTATAATAGATTTTAATTAAAATAAAATAAAATAAAAACTCTTATAAAGTTAGCTAAAAAAATTTAATAAACTTTAGTCGAAAAATAATTTTGAATAAAATACGTTAGGAAAATAATATATTTTTAAAAAATTATTTATTTAGAACTGGTTTTATATGTTTAAATTATTAATATTAAAATAAATTTTACATTTGTTAATAATAAAATATTTGAAGAGTGTGAAGTAAAGTAATCGAAGATTACCCGCAGCCAAGACAGAAGGAGAGGGTGGATTCCCATGGATGTTATGATTGAAGTTCAAGGCGAGTTGATGGTAACTTTGTCGATTCACATCTTCAATTGCAACTTCCATTGCTATCTTCTCCTCCTTTCCCACACCAGAATTCAACTCTATGGCTGCTCCAATCTTCACAACATTCTTCGACTTCAACGTTGAGCACTGGTTTCTGTTGTTGCTCCCTTTTATCTCATAATCATTTGCATTAGCAAGAGCTTCTGACCACACCCAAAGAAGCAGCACTAGAATTAGTACCCACAAGAACCCAAACTGAGACATAGAAAATTGTTCAAACTTGAGGGAAAATGTGAACTGCTACCGCTTCTAGCAAGCTAACAAGTAAGTTCATATTTATATATGGAGGACTAAATTAATTAATCACTTGACACAGAATAACCACATTTTATTATTACTATGCGTATGAGTAGTTAGTCCAGGTCTTTTGCTTTTGGATAATATCTGCTTGATAAAGAAATCGTCTATTGCGTATGAGTGTGATCACTACTATGGTAGACTTTTACTGGAATGAATATATAAATGCATGGATTCCAACACTTATGTGTTTTCGTTTTGAAGATTTGACTTCAGAATCACAGGAGAAGAGAATTGGTCTTCAACCTTCGTTTTCCACCCTGCTTCCTCCCTGTTTCTTTCTTTGGCTGGAATTTGGGTAAACTAGAAGAGCATCGTCATCATCCGTATTGATTCTATTACAAGTAACTTGTAAGGATTTGATTGTTAACAACTGTCTTGGAAATAGAAGTCAAACAACTTTTAGGAAGTTTTTAAATGATTCTAATCATTTAAATAAATATTAAAAAATATATTTTTAGTAAGAAAATTTGTTTAGGGTAAGTAGAAGTAGAGCATTTAATCTTGGATTTGACATTTACATTAATTTTTATAACAAAAATAATCTTCAATAGAAATTATAATCTCACGAAAAATTAGTCTCTCACTTGAAAAAAATATTATAAAAAACAATAATCTTATTTTTCTATAAAAAGATTGACATTACTATTATATTATTATTATCTATATTTTATGTATCATAGGAGAGAGAAAAAGAAAATATTATCCACATAATATAGGAAAAACAATTATTATGATTTATATATTTAAAAAAATAATAAAAAGAGGAAAGACAATATATATATATATATATATATATATAATACAATATTATGAATGAAGAAATAATATAAATATATCTAAATTGTGTATAAACTAATCTATTTTTTTCTTTATATATTTTCTTGCGGAAGTTCGTATAGAGAAACTCTTCATTTATCATCAAAAGCCACACTTATAAGAAGGATAGTTTGGAAATCCTCCAAAATAAAATGTAATTTAAATGGATAAAAACACAAATCTTACAAAAGATAGGTAGGTTACAAGGATTTACAGCAGGTAAACAAAAGATGTCAGATACAATAATACAACCAAAGCATTCAGTTGACTGCATTATTTTCAATTCAATGAACAGGCAGGAAGGAACTTCCTATTCTAAAACTGTAAACATACAATAACAGAACAGTGACTCATTATTGAAGAACCAAACGTGCTTTTATCCTTGAGCGAATTTTTTGAAGAACTGTCTGTAATAGGTTATGCTGGCGATATTGTGAAAGACTCGATAAGACATCCTCACCTTTGGCTCCCTCACCACTGTCTGAAATTTCATGTCTAGCAAGCAGCAAAGGAGCCACCTCAGGCAAGAAATCAATACCTGCCAGGTGTTGAGCCCATTTATAAGGACGTGAAGTTCTATCGCAATTGAACATTACAGCATCCCCAACATAGAGCTTTGCTGACTACATCACCATCCAAATAAAAACAAATGGCATATAAATGCAATGGTAATAGAATATATGAAATTGCAGATAGACAGATTAATACATCAACATTACACAAAATGCTCGAACCTGGTGAGGAAGCTCGAGACCTGTGTCATCAGGGAATAAGTTACTTAAGATGTCATTCTCAGGACCATCATTAGATGCTTTGATCCCGACACATATAATATTCAACTGCATCAAATACTCAAAATTTAGAGTAATGAGTTTTGCAGACTCAAGATCACAGATCTCGTCATCATACACATGGAGATTGAGCGTAAGTGGGTGAACTTGAAATATTCCTGCCTGTTCAAGACTTTCCTTGCCTTGAAACCTCTTTGGCCTTTTACTCGGTCTCTGATCATCTTCATCATGTTCATCATTTTCCAATTTGGGACTCTCTACAACGGTGGAAATGCCTGCGTAATAAAAGCACACTGAAGAAATTCAGAAATATGGCAAATATTAAAGGTAACATGGAATGAAGAACATTGATAATCACAATGGTACTCTAAATCTAGCAGCTTCTTTCTCTTTACTCATTGTCAAGAGTGATTAGTAGTGAAACTATTTAATAAACTAGTTTGCAGCAGCTAATATTCCAGATGGTATATAGGAGTGACATTCGGGAGCCGAATCATCAACAAGATACTGAAAAATTAAGTTCTTAGTCCTGCATCAGCAGATACACTGAAGCTGCAATAGAACTGGATATTGGATAACATAGAGTCCAATCAATAAAATGCTAGAATTGACAAATCAATTCTCAATTACCAGTGTCCTTGTGAACCTGATGGTGGGCAAAAGATTGAGCATCTTTGACACTTCCGACAATCTCCACGTCAATAGATTCTCCAAACACCTCCTTTTGAGCCAACAGCTGTGAGTAAATCACATAAAGAGGTTGTGGAAGCAACTCTGCTGAATGATGCCGCTTTAGTTTCTTAGTATGCTGAACTCCTAGTTGATTTTGCACTGGCAAGGATGCTTTCTTAAGAGACTTGAGATGTGAAGGGAGGCTAGATAAGAACTTCTTTCGGTTTGCAATTGTCTCCATAAGGGTTTTCTTTTTCTGTTCCATTTTGTCGTGAAGCTTGCAAAGCTCTTTGCGCTGATACAACATTGTAAAGTATAAGCACATTTATATCACCATTAACAAGAACAACGAAAAATGAAAATTACTACTACAAGTTTTAAATATAAAATATCGGGCCAATGAATTTTCTAAATTTAAGTTTAACAATAGTAGGTCTAGATGCTCATTAAATGACTAATCTAAATGTCCACACTCAGCTAGTGGGAAAATGCATAGAGAAGTTTCTCTCAAACAGTTCATCCACAAAGTATCAAGTCAAGTATCTTCAATCTATTACATCTTTATATTTATACATAAACAGTATACATCTCTCAAATACAGAGACACATTGTCACAAGGCGCTACCATTTATTTAACCTCCAATCCTTTCTTTGAAGAACAGCTAGTTTATCAATACAAAACTTGTGTCAGAAGCAAAACCATCCATGGCCACAATAATACAATTCAACATTTACACATCTGAAAATTAAATAGTTCTAGTTTTTCTGTTCCTTTATTGGACAGAAACTAACTTCCGTAATAATACAAAGACAGGCAAATCTTGGAACTAGCCAAATTACAAGATTCCAAAGTTTCTTAGGCTTATTAAACATCTAATATAAAGAATCAAATACCAAACGCGTACAATATATTACGTGTAGGCTCAACATAACATACATTACATTTTTCCCGTTGCATACAAGGTTTTAAACCGCAGTCGCAATTTTGGTATCATAGTCAAGGTTTTTAAGATGTTTGCAACCGCAACACAACTACAATTTTGGTCACATTCACCGCATTTTAACTGCAATCACGATTTGAATATTGTAGTCATGATTTCTACGGTGTTCATGATCACTACAGGACTACAATTATGGTCGCATTCACCGCATTTATCCGCAATATCAAGGAACACAATGAAACCTCAACTATGGCCACATCGACTGAACTCATCTACGACATACCGCACGCAACAGAACAGTGACCGGAATTTCGAACCTTCCTAACTCAGTAACTAAGTCTGATTATTTCAAAACTTCATAACTCCTAAGGCTTTGACAACTCGTAACTAAGTCTGATTCAGTAAAAATTAAAAAAATAAAATGCAACTCACCTGAAACAACTCAAAATTGAGTCTCTTAAGCACGAGATTATGTTCACTATGATTGCACAAAACGGAGTCCTTCATATCCTGCGGCGCGTCACGAAAAAACTCGCTCTCCGACACTACGTCAATATCAGCATACTTGGACTTGAAATCGTTACACGCCTTTATCGCCTTTACGTAATGACTCTTCTCGTACATCAGGTTCTGAAGCTGCTGCGCGGTGAGTTCAAGAGGCGCCTTCGCACACTCCGTTTCCATTCTCGCACGCTCTTCCTCCAGCAGGATCGAACGATTGGCCTGAAATAGAGAAAAGCGCGTTAGTTGCGTTACGACGTCGCATTGCGAAGAGAAAACCCTAGCGTGTGAGGGACCTGGCGAAGCGTGACGAAGTGGAGGAACGTTTGAGTGAGGAGCTCTCTGAGTCGGAGAGTGAGGAGCGGCTTGGGTTTGGCCTGATTCTTCTGAGCCAGAATCTCGGCGACGATGTTCTCTATTGAAAATTTCGTGTTACGCAACGATTCGTGAGGAGATTCCTCGTCCGAATCGCAGTGCCGCAAGGAATGCGGAAACATTTGCTCCTCTCCATCGCCGTCACCGTCGCCGCCGTATTTCGATACCGGAACGACAACCACCTCCTCCGTCGTTTCGCCGTGTTCCATTGCTACCCTTTGCGGCGATAACTGTTTCACTGTAAAGAGTGTGTTCGGGTGTCGCCGCAGCAGTGGGTTCCAGGGATGAATTGAATATTGATAGAAATGTGTGTAGGTGGGTGCCTGTGTTGCAATTCACCCAATAATTAAATATTTATTTAACAAAACTCTTACAGGTAAATTGAAATTTTTTGGCTAAAATTATTAATGCTTATTTTTATTTTTATTTTTATTTTTATTTTTATTTGAATATTTACTTTACCTTTTATTTTTTAAAGTTTAATTATTTTTTATGTTTTAAAAATAAATCAAAACGATATTCTCTGTCACGCCCGTTAAATTTAAAATAAAATACATTTTTTAACATCAATAATTTTTTAATTTGTTAATAATTTAGTATTTAAACAATTATCTAATTAAAAATAAAAAATAGTATAATTGATTATATATAATCCATAATTTGTTTAACATAGTTAATTATCTACATAAATAAGGGTAGTTTAGATAACATTGCTGTGGTATTGAATGTTGTCACCGTTAGCTTCGGAGTCAATAACAATAATCACTAGCAGGTTTTAGAGTAATGATTCAATATGAACTTGGGTAATAATGGATAAAACAGATTATAGTTTTTTTAACTAGCCAAATTTGTCCTATGCCAATATATTAATTTTAATTTAATTAAAAAATAAAAAAAATTACAACATGTATCTATAAAAATAATTTATTTAAGAAATATTCAAAATAAATAAAAATAAGTTTTTTAAATCTAAGTTATATTAATGAAATTAATTAATTATAAATATTATGATTTAATATATAAAGTATATATATTAATAAAATTATATTAAGTAAAAAATATTTTATAAATTTAAATTATATGAATAAAATTAATTTTGATTTTAATATAATAAATTAATATACATATATTTTATAAAATAATAATATTTTTTATTTAAAGAAAAATATTATTTTATAAAAATAATAAGTTAATAAACCTACGTAGTAATATAATCTAAGTAGATTTATGTATAAGTTAAACAAATGAAATCAAAATTTGTCTAAGTAATTTAAACTACAAATTATTCAACTTTCTCTCGTTTCTATCTCACGTGGGATTTCAAACTTATACTTGAATTCTCAACGTCTCTTCACCAAGTGTGATTCTCTTTCACATTGGTATATATTTCCCTCAGCAGAAGTATTTTTTAGTTATGAGTACCTAGTGATAACCTTATTTGTACAAACTTAACAGGACTCGCTTACCTGAAACCCTTGTCATGAGAACTTTCGACACAAGGACATTTCACCTACTATACTCAACTGAGTCGATCACTGGATGAATCATCGGCTCTGATATCACTGTTGGATACTTATTTGTACCAGTCATTCAACTTAACGGAACTCGCTTGCTTGAAACTCTTGTTAGAAAGACTTTCGATACAAGTATCTTTTACCTACTATAATCATACTCAATTGAATTAGATAACCCATGTGTGTTATGTTTTCGGCGTTTTATATATACTTTTTCACCAAGTCCATGTGAGTTTTGTTCAAGTTCAATCGAAATCGAGTCTACACCTGAGTTGATTCATGGTCTAACAAAAAATTTGTAAACTCACAATCATGATTATTCACCATTTAATTGAGTTGATGTTTGTACAATATTAACTTCTTACATTTTTTTAATATGGTCACTTCTTTGTAACTCTAACATATTTTCAATTTATGACAACATTGGCTTGTTCTTCTTGGAACATCTAGTTATCTCTTCATAAACTTCTTAGTCCTCCCTCAACCCTTTTAATATCATGGTGGTAATAATTTTGAATCATCTTATTTTAACCATAATTCTTATTCTTCAATAGGGCTAATAACATGCTCATAACAAAACTAATATAAGTCTTTATAATAGTATCTAAGAGCATAGTTTTCAAGTTTTCTTATAATGAAGTTGATTTCAAATACAATATGCCTACGATGAATTTCATTAATATGTCATAAACAACATAAACAAGTTTGTGCTTGTAGATAAATCTTAATTATTAATAAACATGTTTGTCACCTTAAAAAATAATCTATTTGCCCAAGTTATTAGGAAATTATTACTTTTGTTAATTTTTTATTCAATCTTTTAAGAGTCTTTTTTTATTATTTTTCAATGAGTGAGATTAATATCTTTGTCAAATAAATCATTACTCATCCAATCATGGTGATAATGGATTTATTGGGCTATCAATACAAAACTAATTGTTGATCACCACATCACATTTTATATAATCATTAAATGCATGTGTTCCTATTCAAATTCCGCTGCCACCAAAATGAATCTTTATTGATTTCCTTAATTTTATTCATATGACATTCCTAGCCACATAAGTTATTCTCGAAGTTCTCATCAAGAGTTCTCTTATCAACTTTCCTCTTCCAAACTTTTTCTTGAATTTGTTATATAAATGTCATATATAGAAACAACATTCATTTTAATTATATATTTGATCTAAAAGAGAAATAAACTCTTATAAAACATTATTTATGATTAGTATGATATAAATGTGTTGCAATCAAGGTCACAATCAAGCGACAAAAAATAAGAAAATTTAAAAAATGAAGTCACTACCATAGTTTATTACGAAAAATTATAGAAAATATTTAAAAAAAAAAAGAAAGAAAATAGTTTTCAAAACCATATTTAAATCCGAGAGTCGATTATATATAGAAGAGCGGTATTAGCATTATGCAGCGTTCATCCTAAGATGGTTAACCTTAACTAAATGTAATATTTATTTTCCTCTAATATTACAAAGAATATAAAGAAAAAGAAAAAATAAACATTTTGAAAAATTACTATTTTTTTCTTGATAAGAATTATCTTTGTTCCTATGTATTTTCATAGATGAAAAATCAAGATTTCATCATTCTTGGTAGAAAAAGTTTTGTTGGTTGAAAAAATTAATATTTTCAGTATTTTTAAATTCATTTTTGTCCGCTCTACCTAACCCGTCAATCCGATGAGTTGATCCACTTTTTAAAAATATAAATAAAATAAATAAAAAATATTATATTTTTGTATTATAAAATTAAAATATATAAATATATTATAATATTATAAAATTAATTAAATTTAAATATTAATCCATTAAACTTAAATATTTTCAGAGTCAAGCGATCATCCCGTTTAAATTAACAGCACTATGTAACCCATTTCGAGTAAAATCTGTAAACCAACCTACCAACCCACTTCATATCATTTCTAACAAATTAAAGATGCAAGGACCAATGCCGCAGTAATTCATTTTCTCAGCCTACCTACAAATGAGAAATAGCTACGTTAAAAAACACCACACCACCAACAAATGCGAGAGGCGAGACACTATTAATCTTCTTACTTGATTTGATAATATATTATGTACCTAATAGTCACGCTTAACGTGATTTCATAATATATTATGTACCTAAGATTATCTATTCTCACAAATCAGTTTCCCAATCCACTCCCCCAAATCTGTGTCTTTCAATTTTTTTAATTAAGTTAGAAAATGATGTTACATAATTTCCTAATTATGTGGTCTTTTAATTTTTAAAATATTAAATTTAAAATAATACTATTTCCTTCACGATACTCAAGATTAGATCCCTTAACATTTATTTTTTTAAAAATAAATTTAAAATTTTATTATTTCTTTTACTACACTCAAAACCAAACGCCTTGTTATTTATTATTCAACTTATACCAGATAATAACTTTTCTTTTAACCATAATGACTTAAAAATTTAACAATATAATTAATAATGTGTTCAGAAAAATAATAAGTATAATAAACACAAATATTTATAATAAATTAATAATCATGAAATATATTTGTCCTTTTTATTAAATAAAAAATTTATATTTAACATAATATAAGCATAATAAAATATGGTTAAAATATTCTCCATTCTTATAATATAAGTAAATATTGGTTGAATTATTAATTATATATCGACAAATACGTAATTAATCTTTAAGATTTCTTTTACTTAAATTTTCTATAAATAAATTTTAATCGACCATAAATATTATATTAAATTTTAACTAATGTTACAAGGAAAAGTGAGTGGAAGAGAAAAACTTAAACTCATATTATTAACAATTAGGCAAAACATGACACTATCTTTTATATTAAAAGGTAATGATTATGAGGTAATAGAAAAAACAGAAAATAGTAATAACCAAAAACAGTAAAGTCAGTTTTGATACATAAGAAAAAACTAACTAACATTTGACTTACACTCTAATACTTTCCCTTAAGCCAAATGCTACCAATAATTTACAAGATAGTACCTTTCTCTTAGAATTTTAAATCTCTCATACTTTAGAGCTTTAGTCAGAAGATCTGTCAGCTGCTCGTCAGACCTGCAGTACTCAATCTCAATTTTTCCTCTCATTACTTGTTCCCGTATGAAATGGAACTTAGTCTTTATATGTTTACTTCTACCATGAGAAGTAAGATGTTTTGTTAGATTGATAGCAGATTTATTGTCAACTAACAACTTTATCTTCTTACCAAGACCCACCTTGAGCCCTTTCAACAGAGATTCTAGCCATACTCCCTGACAACTAGCTTCACAGGCAGTTATATACTCAGATTCACATGAAGATGAGCAACAACAAGCTCCTTGGTTGAACTCCACGGAACAAGAGCATCTCCAAGGAAGAAGATATTCTAGATGTGCTCCTCCTATCACTCTTATCACCACACCAATCTGCATCTGAATATGCAGTAATCACCAACTCGATTGTGTTTCTGGTCTGCCAAACAAAATCTCAAACTCACTTGTTCCCTGCACATATCTCAGCACTCTCTTTGCAGCATTCATGTGTGACATTCGTGGATCCTGCATGTATCTACTAATTAATCCAACACTGAAACACAAGTTTGGTCTTGTATTGCAAAGGTATCTTAAACTTCCCACAATCTTCCTATACTCAGTTGGATCCACTCTCATTTCTTCAGGCTCTTTCTCTA